TAATGAATGCACCAGTAGGATATACACTGATGGGAATAACCAGTATTACTGATACTACAATTGTAATATACAGCATCACAATACAGCAATTTTTACAAGATGGGCAGCATTTGGCATTGTTTTCCTCATCTTCATTTTCCTCATGATCCTTACAATCCTCCAGATGAGCTGGTTTGATACATTGGCAAGTGATAAAACTAAGAAATTTCAAACAGCCAGGTACGCAGCTGATAGTGCAACCTGGACAGTATAATAAATGATTATTATTATAACATTACTTCTTACTTGAACAAAAGCACTCACAACTACCCATTGAACCAGAATTAATCTTCTATTCTTGTTTATCCACAAATTTCTTGGTAAACCCCAGTATTATCACAACAAGAACTATATAGGCTTACCTGCAGCATTCAAAAGAAAAACAAGTGTATAAGGTCAAAGTTGCTATGGCAATGTACCATTAACTGTGAATATGAATCATTATGAATATCAAAGTGATTGAATTATGATGATAAACAACTACAATTTACAACAAAAAAGCAAAAAATGTGAGCAAGATCAATCTATTATACCAATAGAAATGGGATTTTATGATAATCTGAATATAAACAACTATTGTATGAGCCACAATTATAGTCAGTAATGTGTATATATCATACAATGGAATTTAGTACATGTGTTTATGTTACAACTGAGAGTATCATGGAGTTTTAATAATGATAAATACTAACTAAGCACTTACAAAACGGACTTTCCACTTACCTATATACAAAATGTCATGTTAGATTTGCCTTTATAGCAATAAATTTACAATCACTTGGTATTATAACTTATGGTCATGAGGGCCCTTAGACTATTTTTGTGTGATATTAAGCTGTTATGGTATTAGCTAACATGTATCATGCTGCATTTCATGAATAATGTAAAGTTACTTTAGAAGTCATACATCAAAAGAGTGATGAATATTACTATTGCTATAGTAACATTGCAACTCCTTCCTACTAATAACATGTAAACAACACAATAATGTCTTCTACCTTCAATTTTATGTATTCACTAACATTTTCTGCTTCTAATGTAATAACAAGTATCATTCATCAAACAAAAATAGTAGATTAGTCAGCCAAAAAATGTTAAAGTTAAGTAAAGCAGCAGTACATCTATATACCTCTGAATCAGCTTATAATATTTACTTTCAGTTTATTTGAAATCGTATTGAGATTGTATTTAATTGCTCTAATTCTATTATTAGGCAAACATTGCTTGTTTGTTTTTAGAATAATTTATTTGTACAAGAATCAACTAGTAATAAATCACATAAAATAATTAAAAAAGTTTCTAATGGCAGCAACTAGCAAAATAATAATGATAATAAAATTAATTTATAATAATAACAATGACAAAAAAATAATAAATTAGTCAGAGGAAGAGATCAATAATAATACTAATAATAATATTAATAATAATAATAATAGTAATAAACTACAGCAGCAAAAGGTAATAGCAAAATACACGTGTCATCAAAAAAATTTTTGTGTAAAAGCTAAGCCTGAAAATCAGTTGACCTAACACTGGTTATTAAACTAACTACAATACCAACGAATGCAAAAGCAATGGACAAATAAGCAATATTTAAATTAAAAGGAATGCTAGCACACAATATACGTAACCTGAAGCTAAACTTTTGCCTCTTCATAGACTCAGCAAACTGTGGTATGATATCATCAGGGAGATTACTGAGCTTGTACTTGTTGCTAATCTTTCATATAACACGTTGTCTTGTCCTGGTAACACTAGCAGCTCTGAGGCAAGGATGAAGTAGAAAGAAGCACTCCAGTACACTGTACATGAAGAGGAATCCAATCTCAGCTTCATGGAACTCTATTCCAATTTGTACGTGTTTATGTTAGCTTTAACAAGAAGTGTAATAGCATCAATGAACAATGTTATAACCATAAAGGTTGATATTATGTGGAATACCCAGTGGAATAAAAACCAAAACTGAATCCAGTTTAGTGTTGCTTTTGCTTTTTCAACGAAATTTTTATCACGTTGAATGAGATATGCCAAAACCTTCTTTTCTTTAGTATTTAACTCTGTTGCTTTGCAGTTGTTATCAATATATGTATTAACTTCTTCAGGAAGATCAGAGGCAGGTTTGTATTCCTTGTTGATATGAATGACAGATAGTTCTATTTCTTCACATCTTCTTTGTATTCCGTACATTAACTTTGAGAATATACAGCAACTGACCAGATTACGATACAATGAAATGAAATAGAGAACAAGAGCAGTAATTTCATAGCCATATGCACTGTTGCTCTTGTCGTGCTCTAGTGATGAAAGAAGGACAGCTGCTGTGATGGTGATGAGTGATAGTCCAACGATGAGCCAAATAATGAAATGCCATGATCTTGCACCTTGTAATGGAGTTCTGGTTCGATCATCACGCTTTTCAAAAAAGCTATATTTGTCTTCCTTAGGTGTCTCACCTGTCTCTGCTGAGCAACAGAATTTCTTCAATACCCTTTTTGCCATGACTTCTTTTTCTTTTTTCGGTTCTTTCTTTAATTCATAAATGTCATCTATGTAAGAGGAATCAAAGTTATCTTCTTTATCGCAATAATCATCAAAAGGATCTAATGGCATTATGCTATTGTTATTGCTTTTATTATCATTGCCATTCATGACACCACAGCAGGATTCCTTAAAACCCTTCCATGCACTATTGATACAATTATTGATGCAATCCCAGCGCATCAAGTACAGTGCCCATAATGAGATTATAAAGAGAATATGAGACACAACATTAGCTGTTGTTGAAAATAATAGTGCTACCTTACTAAAATCTATAAACTCTTGCATCAATCCTCTTTTGACATCTATAAACAACAATAATAAGTCACATAATTTTGATTATGTCATTTATGTGTATACCTGTATCAAGTGTGTCTGTATCTCTCAATACAATTTTAGCTAGTTCAGATTTATTACTTTTTTTGAATGGTTCCACTGTAAAGCAGATGCCTGTGCCATTTTCATATGGACATTCCTTCCATTCATAAATAAAAAAAGCAAGTGGTATTGCATGTATTGAAATGCCAACAAGTGATGCAAGCAGCATAAGATAACAGTGTGTGGCTCTGCACCAGGTTCCTACTGTACAAGATTTTTTTTGACTTCTTTTCTTTAGCTTTGGTTGAGGTATGTATTGAAATGTTAAACAGCTCAAAATTGTCAGCAATACTATACTTATCCATTTTCCTATAAAAGAATGAGATTATTGTGCATTTACATTTAGTGATCCTACATGCATACCTGTAGCTGAAAAGCAGCCAACATCTTTATCTTCTGGTGTGTGGCTGCCAGGTGAGGTTGTATCAACAGTTGTATCACTTCCAGTTATTATTATTGTCATTTCACCAGTTGTTGTTGTTATAGTACCAGTTGTTATTTGTTGTTTATCACCAGTTTTTGTTGTTGTTTCACCAGTTGTTGTTATTTCTGTAGCACCAGTTGTTGTTATTATTGTAGTAGTATCACTTTTTTCTGGCCCTCTGGTTTATCATCTGGTTTAAACTGCTTATAAAACCTGTTCAATCTATGATAAAATTATACCATTTTTCATAACTTCAGGTTTAGCTTGTTCTTTATCTTCTTTGATAGGAAAAAGAAGTAGATCTAAGTGAAACTTATTATTGTCTATAGTTTAACAGTACCTTCTTTTTTTGGCTCATCACTATGAGTAGAAAGTGGTGATGATCTACCTATAAACTGTTTATAAACTGATCAAATTAATATTGTATTGTACTAGTAGGATCCATCATTGCATTTTCATTGCCGTCCTTTTTGCTGATACCATTAGTTGATTTAGTAGCCATGTTGCTGTATGGAAACTAGCATGCGCCCAAGAGTTTTTCTTATTGCTACGGAAACATTTTGACATTAACTTTAATATTTATGCATTACCAGTAAGTGTGTTTTATGTTGTTATGGTAACAGGTATCATGTTACCAAGAATCATAAAATGCATTTCATGAATAATGTTAAGTTACTTCAGAAGTCATACATCAAAAGAGTGATGAATATTACTATTGCTATAGTAACATCCTTGTTACTAAAAACAATAATACTGTAAACAACATAATAATGTCTTCTGTCAAGCATCTTCCTTTAATTCAATGCGTTAACTGACATTTTCTGCAATAACTTCTACTATAATAACAAGCATCATTAATCAAAAAAATAGTAGATATAGTCAGCCAAAAAATGTAAAGTTAAGTAAAAGCAGCAGTACAACAAAAGAGAATAAATAATATAACTATATATGTATAGCGTATAATAAGTAATAATAACATAATAATATATTAATCAGTGACAGTAGTGATTAGAGTCACTACACTACTAACAAAACCAAAGGCAATAGACAAATAAGCAATGTTTAAATTAAAAGGAATACTAGCACACAATATACGTAACCTGAAGCTAAACTTCCTCCTCTTCATTGACTCAATAAACTCTGGTATAACATTACAAGTAGTACCTTTAAGATTATTTAAATTAGTAAACTTGTAAGCTTCATCACTGATTCGTTTTATCAAACGTTTTCTTGTCCTGGTAACACTAGCAGCTCTTAGACAAGGATAAACTAACACAAAACACTGCACTAGACTGTACAAGAATAGGAATACTATCTGTACTGGATGAAACCCAACTCCTTCCTCTAAATGTGGTACCCTATCCTTAACATGAAGTGCCACTGCATCAATAAGTACAGTGAGTATCATGAAGGTTGATATTATGTATAGTACCCAATGGAGTAGGAACCATAGTTGAAGCCAGCTAAGTGTTGCTACTGCTGTATTTACAAAATATTTGTCACGTTCCTTGAGATACTTCAATGCTAGCTCTTTCTTACCATCAGGACAATTTGTCTTGTTATGTTCCTCTATTAATTCTTTCATAGCGTAGGCATATCTTGTAGCTTGTGCTTTTATTCTTTCTTTCCTCTCATTGTCCTGTGTAATGAAAGGCTGCTTCTTAATATCACCAAATTGTACTTTGTTTATTGCATTTATAACTGACTCCTCCATTCTCTTCATCTTCTTCACAGTTTCAGAGTCATTCTTCTCATCAATGGCATTGTTAAATGTAGTGATACCTCCACCTATGCGACTATTAATGGAATCTTTTATATTTTTACACACTGCCTGAGCTGCAATTCGAACTAAATTCCGAACTACATCCTGAGCTGCATCCTGATTTTGATTTGAATTTACATGTTCATTGACTTCCTTCAGAAAACAATTAGCCAGACTATATGCTAAATTCTCATCGTCTGATGATTTAGCAAATTTAATCATTTCAGTAGCAGCTGTTTCAAGCTCAGACTTAAATCCTGTTTCTACATATTCTTTTATTTTGTTATTATCATTATTGTTAATATTGTCATTAGTGTAATATACATACATTTCTATTTCTTCACATTTTCTCTGTATAGCGTACATCAACTTTGAGAATATAAAGCAACTGACAATAGTACGGACTAATGACCAGGCATAGCATAATGTCGTTGAAAACTCCCATATATCGATTTGATTGTACTGATATTGACAGTAAAAAAATACAAAACCAACTGCAACCATCATAAACAACCCAATAGCAAACCATGTGCTGTAATGACATAATCTCTCACCTTGAAGTAATGTACTGGTACTGGTGTCTTGCTGGGAGAAAAAAATTTCTTTTTCTTGTTGTCTCGTTTGAGAAGGGTCCCCGGGTTGACCCGTTTGAGAAGGGTCCCCGGGTCGACCCGTTTGAGAAGGGTCCCCGGGTCGACCCGTTTGAGAAGGGTCCCCGGGTCGACCCGTTTGAGAAGGGTCCCCGGGTCGACCCGTTTGAGAAGGGTCCCCGGGTCGACCCGTTTGAGAAGGGTCCCCGGGTCGACCCGTTTGAGAAGGGTCCCCGGGTTGACCCGTTTGAGAAGGGTCCCCGGGTTGACTCGTTTGAGGAGGGTTCGGTTGTCTCGTAGGAGGCTCTTGTATTATTTTTACTTGTTCAAGTTTATGCTGATACACAACAGCAATTGAAGTAGGTTCAATAAATTCATTTTCATCATAATCATCAAAAGGATCTAATGGTATCACATTCTTATCATCAGCTTCATCTCTTGTACAGCAGCAGTACAGTTTACATTTCTTCCACCAGCTCCAGTTCAGTTCACGTGACCACTTGTAATGCCTGCAGAATAGACAGACCAGTGCCCATATGAAGAACAGTTGTGACACTCCATTAGCTGTTGTTGAGAACAATATAGCTATCTTAGTAAGATCAAGAAACTCCTGAACCTCATGAGAATTATTAGCATTTATCAGTCCATCTATTGTTAATGAATAGTTATTTAATATGTAATGTATTAAATAATCTCACACTTACCTCCAGTATCTCTCAGTACAATATCTGGTCCAGCATTTTCATTTATTGTAATAGTGAAACAAATCTCTCCTTCACTGTTGCTGTATTTGTATGGTGTACAGTTAGCCCACCCAGCAATGAATGCACTAGTAGGATATACACTGATGGGAATAACCACTAATACTGATAGTACAATTGTAATATACAGCATCACAATACAGCAATTTTTGCCAGATCTTTTACAAGTACAGCAGCTACAGCAGCAGGATGGGCAGCATTTGGCATCATTTTCCTCACCATCCTCTAGTTCAGCTGGTTTGATGCATTGGCAGGTGATAAAACTAAGAACTTTCAAAAAACCAGGCACCCAGTGGGTAGTGCAAGCTGGACAGCCAGGTTCTATATAACAAATAATATAATAATAATTGATTATTATACAACAAACACCTACTTGGTAAAAAGCACTTCTTACAGTAGTCAGTACAACCCATTATTAGTTGAATCAAATACTGTAAAAAGCATTATCTACCATCATGTTATACTACAGACTTACCTACAGTACAGCATATGTGGGAATATTATCATAAGACAATCTACTATCACATTTCTACATCACCTTTAGTAGTACCACTCTCTTGCTTTGTTCCTGTCTAGGGCTGCATGTTTCTTCTTCATTTCCCACTATGAATAATGTAATACTGAACCATTGCAATGTACATGTAATGTACACTATAAGAGTAAAATTTAATTTATTATTGAATCTTGTGTTAAAGAACTGTGAAATGGGTAAGTATATTGTTTCCTATACCAGCACATGATGATAGCAATACATATATTAACATGATGTATCATGAGGAGAGACAAGAGAAGTGGGTGAGATCATTAGTAGTACATACACTGTGTAGTAGAAGTGATGTGAATGCTATGATAAAAGTGAAGGAATAAACTAACAATGAAAGCATCGGGTGTCTGTAGTGATAAGGTGTCTAGTCTTCATAGCCAGACTATCCACTCTTCATAGCCAGACTATCCACTCCTTTTTCACTCTACAGTCTACTGTCCAAAAGTCAAAAAGAGGTGGAGAGTCTGGCTATGCAAGACCAATAAGTGTCTAATAATAGTAACATAATACATCTATTAATAGTAACAGTCACAAAATACATAAATGAGGACTGAGTGTATAATACATTGTTAGTGTAGAAGTAAATAATACTCCAGTTTTATGTTTTTAAGTTTTGTTTTCTTCCAGAGACCCACTCATTAAACACTGCCCTATTAATAATAATAATAATAATAATAATAATAATAATCAATTCTGCCTCCCTACCTGCAGTGGTTCACTATACAGTCATTGGAGCAGTACTTGTATCCTCTCTCCTCTTCATATGAGGACATGTTGTAGCAACCAACAGCAACACACATACCATCAGTCTTCCTCCTTTTAACTATACAAACAACATCAATCAATAATACTAATATGTTACTATTTTTTAAAGTTGCTCAAAAACCAGGCCAAAGTACATGGTTTCAGGCCAAATTTCGTCAAAATTGAAAAGTAAAGAATTTGCCATTTTTATATTTTTTCTAATGCATATACATGTACTTATGTTGTGTAGAAAGTTTGAGCTAATACTGATCAAATTTGCATTCTTTACTAACATTTAAAGTTACTCACTACACTCTTATTGCCCTCAAGCCCCACCTCTTAGCCCCACCCCCTTAACTCCACCTATTATTTCTTCATTGGTTCCTTCTTTGCTTCCTTTCCTCGGTCTCTTGTTAGTCGGTTTAGTAGGGACTGATAAAGTGGGCGTGGCACTAGCAGTAGGCGTGGTTGGTGTAGTGGGTGTGTCCTGCCTATGAGATTGAGATTGTTTCATTTCCTCTTGTTTATCATAATACTTCTGTAAAGAGAAAGAAATTATAAATTGAGGGAAATTCACTACAATAATATTATTATTCTTGTCATTTTGTACATGTATACAGTATAGTCTCTCTTAATGGACACTCTCTATAGCGTACACCTCCATTTAACGGACAGCACCTAGTGTACCAATTACATTCCTTACTGTATAAAATAACCTCCACATAAAGGACACCTCTGTATAACAGAGACACTTTCAAAATGTCCATTATAGCAAGGCTAGTCTGTATACATCAGTAGTTACCTTCTTTCCTTCTTGTCCTAGTACATTCCACATTGATGATACTATCTTGGACACTTCAGAAAATGGCAACTAATTAATGAATAAATAATAATTATTATTTATTAATTATTAATGATTATTGGTTAACGTACATTAGGATTCTCCTCAATAACTTTATGATAAACGTCAGAGAAATAATAATTGAATGCAGTGGGAGGCCTGGAGAGAGAGAGAGAGAATAATAATAATAATAATAATGATACATGTCATGTAGTAAGTATTATAGTTACTGTATATCAGTACATCATGAACACACTACAGTCAGTAATACTACACGTACATACAATTATTATTATTATACCCTACAGTACACACATTCATTACTGATACTATACACATTATTAACGAATGAATATATGTATGAAGGTACATTATGTACATTATACCAGTGAGTGTGTGTACATGTACATCATTATACTGCACCTCTTCTCCTGGTCTTTCTTCTTCTTACCAGCACCAGCACCAGTGCCATTACCACCAGCAGCAGTACTAACAGCACTAGCACTACTACTACTAGCAGTGGTGGTGTTATTAGTAGTGTGTGGTTGAGAGGGTCCAGTAGCAGTAGGAGGAGGAGGAATGGAGAATGAAGGAGGGAGGGAAGCACCAGGTGTAGTCTAAATAATATCATAATAATAATAATGGAGTCAGTATATCATGGACTATAGTACAGGGACTTTGGACTGACTTTTGAGTAACTTTTCAAATTTTTAAAAAGTCTAAACTTGATCGAAATCAGCTCAAACTTTCTACACAGCATAAGGACATCAATATGTATCCAAAAATGTAATAAAAATTTGGTGTGATTTCGGAGCCATTTTTACACAAAAACATGGACTATAGCCTTGGGTATTTTTCAGATTTTTGGCATTTACTTAAAATGGCCGTAACTTAGAAAATTGAAGTCAGAATCAGCTCAAACTTTCTACACAGCATAAGGACATCAATATGTACCAGAAAATGTAACAAAATTGGAGAATTCTCTCCTAATAATTTTTAACAAAATTTGCCTGTGACCCTGTATTATAGTACAGGGACTTTGACCCAATGCTTGAGTAACTTTAAATCAATGTAAGTGTGTGTATATTAACCTGTGGTGGTGGTGGTTCATTGTTAGTTGTGTTCTCATCAGTGCTGGGGGTTGTCCCTGTCATTATGTTCAGTATTTGATGTTTCAGTAATTGATTAATAGCATCTATTGATGGCTGCTGTAGCCCCGCCCCTAATGAGACTCCGCCCCCTCCAGTACTGGCCGACTGCTGCTGAAGTAATGATGATAACTGAGACTGTAACTCTCTCAACTGGTTGGACGTTATAGTGAGGGTAGTGCCGGGACTGAGGGTGGGCGGGGCTGGAGTAGGAGGGGCTTGAGGTAGAGGAGAAGGAGAATGTAAACGAACTTCATTCAATAGAACAGAATCATCTTTCTATAAGAGAAAACATTATTAGTATCATTAGTATATTATTAGTATCATTAGTATATTATTAGTATATTGTCAGTATATTATTAGTATACCAGTACATGTACATGTAGGTAAGATATGTACATGTACATAATATTTATCATTAACTACTGATGGTTGTTAGGCTGAGGTTAATTAACTGCTGTATTTATAGATATAGACATTTTTAAACAAGAAATGATTATGAAACTTGTACACTATATCTTAAGCAATCCGATTGGTCAATTACATCTAGATATGACACTATTATTATTATTATTATTATTTACCTGTATGTTATATTGTCTATTATATCTCTGGGTCATTGCCTGCTGTATTGAAGCGTAATTCACAGCATTACTAGTTATTAAATAATTAATCTGCTCATTACTGAGAGTGTCCAGTGACAGTGGGTTTATATCAATAATGGAAGGACCAGTACTATCAATAGGTCCATTACTAGTGCCGTTAGTGGTGGGTGTGGTCTCCACAGAGCCACACCCACCAATATAGAGTGTATGAGTTTGTAACAGTGTTATTAGCAGTGTCTCAATGTTATCAATATTAGGGGCGAGGGGGGAGAGGTAGGGCGTGGTCTCTGTAGGGGGTGGGGCTCCTTCTGTGGGCGTGGTTTGAGTAGACATTGGATCATCGTCCAAAACCTAATAATAATAATAACACAATCATCATATGATAATAATAATAATAATAACATTGATTTTACATAATTTTGAGTCCTCTATAGACCTCTCGAGCTGTGAATGACTAGGTGTATGAATATCATTATTTTAAGATACGGTATCCACCTACACATAATAATTGGCCGCCATTTTGGACGGCAAGATTCAATGCAGAAGGAATGGAGTAAACTATTAAAATGATTTGTCTAGGAGGTCTGGAGCTCTTTCAAGCTACAAAAGTTGGTTGGAAGAAAGAATGGATGCAACCAAGCATCTCATAAAACAGATTTGGTGCAGTGTGCAGTAAATTCTTTACTATAGCTTGATTTCTGCTTTTGCTCATTGGTTCACCATAGAAAGTTGCCGTCCATGGAATTCATTTACTTCTCCACCACACCCACTGCCGTATTTACTCTAGTGACGTAGTTCATTCTCACCTCAAGAGGTCTATAGCTGGTCATTGGTTGGTTTAATTTGGTGAATTTGTGTTCATGTGTCATTGAGCATGTACAGAATGGATCACAATGACTGGTTTTAGGTTAACGAGTAGATATCAAAATGCCAAATTTGATAAACTTTAATTACCAGCTAATATATACAGTACATAATGTGGAAAATCATGGAAGTAGTGAAGATTAAAGCAGCAGATTCATAAAAAAATATAGGCTACCAATTGCAATAAACTAACAAAACTTGATACATAAGTATATTGCTACTGTTAATAATAAACACATAATTCATTACCTTGCAATAGTTATGCTCAATTTTGAAATGATTGCTTTCGGAAGCCATTTTAAAACAAGCCACGCCTACAAATCTTAAGCTCCACCTTTATTAATAACTAATCACTAGTTATTAATAATAACATGGCGGATGAGAAGGAGCCAGAATCTGATTCTGATGATGAATATTGTCCTAATGAAAGTTAGTGGAGTTGATTTATTTAATGTAATTATTAATTAATATAGAGGAACTGAAAGAATATGAAGAAGAAAGTGCTAAATTAATGAGGTAATAGTAATATTAATAATAATAATAATAGCAATAATAGTGATTAAATGTAATAAAAATTGACAACATATGGCCCAAGATCATGTACTATAGTACAAGGACTTTTGTCCGATTTTTGAGAAACTTTAAAAATTTGTAAAAAATCTAAACTTGGTTGGAATCAGCTTAATCTCTCTACGCTACATAAGTACATGTATATGCATCAGAAAATGTAATAAAATTGAGGAATTTTTTACTTGCCAATTTTAACAAAATTTGACAAAAATCCCTGTACTATAGTACAGGGACTTTTGTTCAATTTTTGAGCAACTTTAAAAAATCATAAAAAATCCAAACTTGATTGGAATCAGCTCAAAATTTCTACACAACATAAGAACATGTATATGCATCAGGGAATGTAATAAAAATGGAGATTTCTTTCCTTTTCATGAATAAAATTATTAATTAATAGAAAGAGGAAAGGTCCTGCCCTTAGTGAAGTGGTTGATGATTTACTGGAGGAGGAGGAGGGGGTGGGGCAGGGGGAGGGGCCAGAGAGAGGAGTAGAGGATGAAGATACAAAGAAGAATAGATTAGATGAAGTGTGGATGAACTTTAAAAAAGAAACAACAAGTACAAGAACAACAAATAGAAAAGAAACAAATAAACAAATTGAGGAAAAAACTGAAGTAATTAATATTATATTAATTAATTTATTTATTTAATTGAAAGGTTTCGTCTGTTCCTATGGAAACAATTAAAATAAAGAAATCGTTTGATTTTGCAGGAGAAGAAGTAATGTTAGTAGATCAAGAAGAAACAGGAATATCATTATTAATGACATTATTATTATTATTATTATTATTATTATTATTATTATTATTATTATTATTAGTGTTGAGAAGGAGGTCCCTGTACAGTCGAATGAAGCAGTTCAGTTTATAAAATCAACAGAAAAGAGTAACAGACCAAGGTAATAATAGTTATTAATAGTTAATTACTGGTTATTAATTAATAGTGTGGGCGGAGTCAGAAGGTCAGGAGGTGCTAAAGCGTTATTGGCATCGTTAAATAAAAAACCAAAACTCTCAACACTAGTAATAATTAATTAATAATTAATTAATAATTAATTAATAATTAATTAATAATTAATTTATTATTATTATTATTATTAGGAGAAGTCTAAATTAGACTGGGACAGTTATAAGAAAGATGAAGGATTAGAGGATGAACTAACCTACCAGACTAAAGACGGGTCAGTATTACCTACTGATCAATACTCCTCCTTTATACTCTACCCTCACATTAAGTGACTATAAACTCACATTACCTCACATTAAGTGACTAGACTCACATTACCCTCACATTAAGTAACTATAAACCAGTTTATGTGTGGACTGCATTGACTCATCTAAAGTAGCTCAAGTGTGTGGTGTAGATAATGAAACTGGTTTAAGTACTGAAGGAGGAGCAGCAGGTGTATTGTATCATTATAAACTGATTTAAACACACTAATACAAGTGGAACCACTTAAGCTGGTTTATAACCACTTGCTTTAACTTGTAAACTAGTGTGTAAGTGTGGTGTAAACTGGGTTTATGACTATAAATTGTGTCTTCTCTCCCTCCCTCCCTCTGTGTGTGTGTGTGTCTCTCTCTCTCTGTCTCTCTCCCTCTCTGTCTCTCTCCCTCTTTCTCAGGTATCTTGATCGTCAGTCCTTCTTAAGTAGAGCTGATGTGAGACAGTTTGAAATAGAGAGAGATGAAAGATTGAAGAGATTTAAAAGACTAAACTAAATACTATTAATATACTACACACACTAACCTCCTCTTATGTAATAATAATATTCACTACAATACAATATTATATTATTGATGGAATGATTTGATACTTGGGTTTATCGCCCCACTTCAGTAATAAGGTTTTATAATCATATTCAGTGTGATTGGCGTGTTCCAGTAACTAACACACATAGACTGATACACCCATCCTTGATATTGCATTGGTAGTACATCTGAACTGCTCTATAATTACAACTCGCCAAATACATTTTCTTGTATCACATGACTATATACAGGAAGTGGTGCCTGTACAAATTGACAAATTCCTCTGGTGGTTATAGCTGTTACAGGCTCTGGTACTTATGCTGTTCTCTAGCTGGTCCTTGTACTGTGTAGTGCATTAGCTAAAGGAGTAGAAGGAGACTTCTCTCCAGTGACTGTCTGATAGTATTCCCTTCACTGTATTGTATATCATTAGTCTATAGCCTGAAGGTAAATTAGATCTCATAGATACCAGGTGTATGAACTATAGTTTAACTTCAATGGGTTTACTGTCTTCTGTCATGCACTGTAAACTATTGTAATAATAATTATTATATCATTATATTTCATGGATGATATTATAGTCTAAATACATGTACCTCACTACCATGAACAGAGAAAGGGGATGGCCCTGGGTTAGTGAATTACTGTAAAATGACCAAATTTAGTCAAAATATGGTCAGTAGTGACAACTGATACTAACTGTAGTAGAGGAGTGGTACCAATCACTATGTACTGATACTACAGACACTACTCATAGCATATAGTGTTAATGATCCATGAATATAATTCAATGATAGTTCAGGTACACATACACTCACTTCTATTGTACTCTTTACCATTAGTCACTGGATAAAGGAACTACTGGACAAGTTGTAGTATCTTAATTACATGTTTAATCCTGTAGCTGTACAGTTTTGCATTAGTGCATGTGTGTCAGGATTAGTGTTAGGTAGTTTGCTATCCTCATGCAGCTAAGAGTGAAGGAGGGCAAGGCTGCATGTGTGTTAGTGCATATTTAAATTAGTCTTGCATATCAATTTATTGATTATTTAGTTCTACTAATTAAACTTGTACGTATACCTTTCTATCACTGAACATGACAATTAATTGCTAAAGACAAAAATAGAAACAAAATAAAGTCTATCTGACCTATTGATTTTTTGTTATAACTTTTGATAAACATGGAATTTAGAAATTTTGTTTGCACCATTAGAATCGCTAGGTCCTTCCCGTCCTTTAGATAAAAAGATCGGGTCAAAATGATAAGGCCTTAGCCTTTTTTGGATGTCCCTGTATAAACTAAATGACATACCTTTGACCGCAATTATGCAGCTAGAACAGCCAGAATAAATTCAGCTGCTACTTATCTGCATCTCTTCCGCGCAACAAAAACAATTCCAAAACCACAAATACGTAAAGAATGCAGATGTGACGTAGTTATTTATTAATTGAAAAAAGCCAGGGGTCAGGTGAAAGTGAATAGACTTTAGTTTTTATTAAAATTACTTTATAAATAATGCTTCATTTCTTGTTCATTTCGGCCAGAGCACAGCACAAATGTATATATACTTAATTCTGTGCATATCAAGTAGTTTCCATGAAATGACCAAATTTAGTATTAATATCTAGAATTACAATAATAACAGTAGCGGAGTAACACTATGAACAGTTATTACATGTGACAATGATAATGATTTATTAAAAATTATAATTCAATGATAGTTCAGGTACACATACACTCACTTCTATTGTACTCTTTACCATTAGTCACTGGATAAAGGAACTACTGGTCTCTAACGTCATTTATAATAATAATAATAATAATTACAAGATGATTGATGTCTCTCAATGGAGAGCAAGTATTGGACTGTGGAACTACTGTCAAGCTGCCTCCAGTAGACCAGCTAATGGCCCCCACTCTCACTCATTCAAAGCTGCAGTAGACAGCAAGTCAGGCAGTACTACATCAGGAGAGAAGACATCTAAACTGCCAGCAGCTCTGTCTCTTATTGTTTCTCTTCTTTTATCTTTATTAAGATATATGAAGCTCATTTTTATTCCTCCAACTGGTAAACAAACTAACAGTATATAATATTATCATACAGTGTATTTACAATAGGTATAATTACTGTTACTGTTATGATCCACTGCCTCCAGTCATTAGTCTTGTTTATAGCTACTATTGGGAGTAGCTCTGACCTGATCTACTATTTGGTTTTACTTCTCCTCCTCCTCTTATCAGGAGATGTTGAACTCAATCCTGGTCCTATGATTGATGATCAACCATCTTGTCCTTACTTTGCAAGATATCTCGAACCACTTGTTGATTGGGAACCATTTGCTCTTTGTCTTCCTGGTGGGATAACACAACTTGATGTTGATATAATTAAAACAAAAGGAAGCTCTTACCTCAGGATGGAGGCATTACATAAGAGATGGTTACAAGTTAATCCTACAACATCATGGAGAGATGTCATTAATGCTTTGAAACAATGTAAAGAGAATGAACTAGCTAGAACTATTGAAGACAAAGTGACAGATCCCACAGCTGGAAGAAGTACTAATGATGATATGGAAGTCAGTACCAGTGATGCTAATCCTGGTCCTATAACAGGTAAACATACACTTAATACAACACTCATTAACTGATACACTACTGCAGGTAATCCAAAGGATATATTAAGGACTCATTCTGATAAATTAGTTCATGCTATTAGTGTGAATCTATACAATGTAACTGATGCACTGTATGCTAAAGAACTGATACCACAACAAACTAAAGAGGAGGCGCATGTATTAGGAATAACTAATTATGAAAAATCTAGTAAACTTATGAATGTCATTGAGCAACAGTTGGAATCCTCTCTTAATCCAGAGCAGTATCTTATTGATATATGTCATGTATTAATAAACCAACAACATCGTACACTAACAGATATTGCTACCTCTATATTACACCAGTTAGGTGAGTGTGTGTGTGTGTACATTATCAGTGATCAATATAGTCATTATATCTCAATACATTAGGTCAGTCTATACCTGATAATGTCACATCCATTAGTTCAATACCTGATCATGTTCAAGGATATGCTGACAATATGAGACAGCACTACAAACACCAACCTATTGTTGCTACAGACTGGCCACCAAGAATTGGAAAAGATTTCTTTGGAAGACTAGCACTAGTAGAAAAACAAGACTCCACCACACAAGCAGAATCAGCTTGGCATCTGCTAAGAGGACAAGTTGATGAAACAGTTAAACTAACTGAAAACAAAGAGATAAGTGTTGAAGATGTCCTCCAACCCACAGATAGTTCTCTGTCTCTCAGAGTAGTAATAGACGGTCCTCCTGGTATTGGCAAGACCACACTCTGTCGTAAACTGTTAAATATGTGGTCTAATGGACCACTTGTACACCAACAGTATGACTTGGTACTTTACTGTCCTTTAAGGAATAGCAAGATAGCTACAGCTACTACACTAGCTGACCTGTTTGTGCGACAACGTTATGAAGTTCCCATGGTAGCTGAATGGTTTGAGAAGAGGAATGGAGAAGGATTACTCATTATCTTTGATGGTTGGGATGAACTAAGTGAACAACTCAGACAGTCGTCATTAGCTGCTAGTATCATTTGTAAAGAGAAGTTAGACCAATGTTCAGTAATTGTTACCTCTCGTAGCTATGCCTCCTCTTCACTTTTGAAAATGGATACTCTCAGTAGACATGTTCAGGTCATTGGGTTTTCTAAGGAAGAAATATCAACAGTAATTATACAAACACTTCAAAAAGATACAAAACTAGCACAAGAACTCATTGATGAAAACACTGAACAAGACATAATAATAAAATCAATAGCAAAATACAAATTTCATTTCACAACTACTCAAAGCAGTAAGGACTCACAACTAGCAGTGAAACTCATTAATGATCTTAAAGTACGAAATGATGTCCAATCATTGTGTTATGTACCACTAGTCTGTTCCATGGTCATCTTAGTTTATTGTAAGGAAGGAGGAAACTTACCAACAACACTCACTCAGCTGTATGAGAACTTTATCCTACAAACTATCAGAAGACATGTTAAAAGACATGACATTAACCCACATACATGTACTTTAGGTAGTCTTTCTTCATTACCATCACAATTAGCTAAACCTTTACAAGAGATGTGTCGATTAGCTTATACTAACCTGGCTAATACAAGAATGACATTCTCTTCACATCAACTACAGTCACTGAGTGAGGCAGTCAAGGAAGACTATCTTGGATTGATGACAAGATTCACAGAATATGACGAGGAGAAGTATCAGTTCCTTCACTTGAGTATACAGGAATTTCTAGCTGCATGGTGGATAGCTAAGCATGAGAAGAAGAGAGAGGAAGTGTTTAAGGATCACTTTGATGATGATCACTTTCGAATGTGTCTGAGGTTTGTGGCAGGTCTAACTCACCTTGAACATGAGAGCTATCAACAGTATTTTAATATACAAAAATTTGACTTACAGTGTAAGAGGAAACGATTGTTTGGATTTGAGACTTGTCATCTCTCCTACTTCTATCAGAATCCTGAAATTAGAATAGGCCCCCTCATACATGTAGATAACCATATCAGATCTCATTATATTGACAATGTTCCGATTCTTCTTCTTCAACTCCTGTATGAATCACAGAACACAACATTATGTCAAGTATTAGCAAACCACTCACTGTGTCTGAATAGAAGAGTATCATTATCATTGTTTGACTTGCTGTGTCTCAGTTATTGTATAAACAATTCCAACACAACATTGCACCTGGAGGATGTACATAATTACATATCACATGAACACACCATATTACTACAGACCCAGTGTAAGGGACTGGAGGTAAGGTTGATTAGAACCTTTGATGCATTAATACACAAATTATTACAATCATCACTTGTATACAATATTCAGGAGTGCTACTGTGATTTAGGATATGATGGTCAATATGTTCCCTGTCTTGTATTGTTACAGTTCCTTGATCTTCCTCAATTGAAGATACTGCACTTAATAATGATCAGTCCTACTATAACAACAGTTGACAATACATACTACACAGACAAGTCCACTGAACTTGAGAAATGTATAGAAATGAATTCAACACTACAAGAAATGAAGATTGAGTATGATGGAAGTGATGAAATAACAAGTACCATTATCAGTGTCATTAGAGGAGTAACAAGAAATAAAACAATAACATCATTAACAATAGATGCTCCTTTTGCTCCTCCTCCTCCTCTACCTGATGGAGTAATAGAGCAGTTACTAAAGGACAACAACACATTACAAGCTCTTTCACTGAAGATACCTGATAAACTCCCACCATCATCACTGAATATAGTAGAGGTGAACACACCACTGACTGCTCTAGAGATAGGATGGTTGAGTAGTAAACTGATCACATCATCACTCCTTCCACATATCAAAGGATTACACTGTCTGATACTACCTGATCCATACCCACCACATCTTCTATTTCTCTCTCATCCCAGTCTACATACACTTACTTTACCACTAGACACAGCTGAGAGTGCTATTGAACTATTTACTATTCTACAAACCAATACTACACTTAAAGCTCTGAGTGTGGTGGAGATAAAGGAGGAGATAGTACATACCACCAGCAGTATGGGTACTAGTCTACAAGACATGCTAACAAAAAATCAAACACTGAAATACCTTGAGATTAATAACTGGTATAGCAGCCTTTCCAGTTCATTCCTGTCCTTCCTAACAACTGGTCTCAGACACAACACCAGTCTACAGCAGTTAAGTGTATCCATTCCACTGAATGAAGAGATAAGAACTTTTATTAATGTCATCTCTCAAAAGAACAATCTCACAGAACTTGAAGTGAACTTCAGACTAGATCAGTCATACAGTAACTGTAGTAGGGAAGAGAAGGAACAAATAATGATGCCATTGTTTTATGAACAGGTACTACCTGCTGTTACTAACATGTTACAGTCACATACAACCATCAGACTACTGAGGATAGAGTGTTGGGATATTAATCAAGAGTCATCTCAACCTAACTGGATAGAACTAGTACAACATTTATATGAAACTATCTTTATCCATCCATCACTTGAATATATTGGGATTAATATACATACTGGATATTCAACTCCTCCTCCTCTCCTGGAGGATACTCTTAAAGATCAAAAGAAGACATTGATTGATAGACACAGAAAAGAACAACCACACAAACCACTACCAATAGTAACGTTAGAAACACATTAATTAATTCCTCTATACATTGTTAGTTAGTTTATAGTTCTTCATTGTTAATTATTTCTTTATTCTTCTCTTCTTCATATTGATAGTGTAGACTCTTCACATCAGTTTGAGATACTTTAGTCCAACCATCTTCTTGTACATGATACACTACACCAGACACAAAGAAATCAATAGAATAACTGATACTACACAATACAACTGGTTCAGTACACACAGTATACACTACAGTATCAGTACAAAATTTGTGGGTAACTTTGGTGAATTAAAACTGCATTTGCCGAAATTGTAGTCTTCAATTTGATAAGGCTGTAACAGTTGCACATGGTCACAATTTTGCTAAAAATTCCTTTTCACCACAAATTCTAACGCTTAAAGGTTTCTAGTTATGGGGAGTTTGAAATAATATTAGTTAATGACACTATTAATTTGTGTCACTTTAATCAAGGATATAATAGACTAACCGGAATTGGTTATGGACCGGAAATCAATTTATGGACCTGTTATAAATTTAAACTAATTTTGGTCTAAACCCATTCTGCTAAAAACCCATTCTGTGTAAAAATTGTGTAAAAATAAAACAAAGACTAGAATAACAAAGTAACCAGTACATTCTCATACAACGATCATTGAACTATTACATTACAAAATAATACGAGAAAAGAGTCATATCTGAATCTGCCACAGGTACACAAAACTGGCCTTCAAAAAGTACTTTTCCGGCTGTATCATGAAGTGGAAAGGTCTAAATAAGTTCTTTTGGTCCTATTCTCATATGAACATAAAAGATGGTAAATCACAATACGATTGAATCCATATACTCCAAGCTATCTTGCCAGCAGAGGTACACAAATGAAAAATGGGCCACATTTAGCAATTCATTGTGACAGCATCGTTAAATATCACCCAAAATGAAAGTAGCAGCTTCCTAATCACTTAGTAATGGTAGTATAACGTTTGGAGGCAGATACAAGCCTTGTTGAGAAAAATAGCAACATTAGTGACTTGCCAAAAGAGTCGGCCATCTTGAAAATGATAACAGAGGTTGCAAAAAGTTTTTATACACAAATGATGCGCTCACGTGATCCCGTAGACAATCTTGGTTACGTTAGTCTATTATATCCCTGTTTTAATTTAACATTTTAAAGCCTCATTCACTAACATTATTATCATTAGCTACAGTCAATATTAAAAGTGAGCAGTTAATTAACTTACAGTTGACCACACCCCCAGAGTAAGAGTCCCTGTATGTAGCATGATAGATAGCTCTCTTCCCTAGCTCCCTCGCCTCCTCTATACTCATGCTCCATTTATAAGTTGAATCAATGACACCATAAGCATAAGTGGATCCAGACCCAACACTGAATATATTATTAGTGAACCTGTTACCATCAGTATCAACGTAATATATACCAGGACCCTATTGGGTGGGAGGGGCAGGGGGAGGGGCTAGTATTATTATTATTAATTATTAATTATTACCTTTTTATCCCAGCCACATATCATAGTGCCCTGTAAGGAATTGGAGAAATACTTTAATTAAATGAGTGGGTGGATCAATTACCATATATGGAGTAATTGTCATAGTGTGTTAAAAATTTAAATTTTTGAGCACTTTTTCTTGAAAATACAAAATTTTAAACACTAGAAAATTTCAAAGTTTATGGACAAACTTTTAATCTTTTCATTCCACCCAAAAAATGACAGTTTGACGTAACCAGAAACCCACCATACATACAATAGTGAGTTATTGTCACTGCCCAAATATGGTAATAATAATTAATATCAATCGTATTAGTACACGCCCACAATCAATTAATAATAATAATAATAATCCATTACCATTGATAGTCCATATCCTTTATAATAAGATACCATATTAGCTAATAGTTTAGAAGCAGCTGCTACTGATATCCTCTCCTTGTTCCGTAACTCATAGATACGACACTCAAATGATAACTGTCTCTCCCAGTAGGCACAGTCAGCAGCTCCTCCAGCCATTGTCCCCAGGAGGTAAGGATTGATCTCTATCACCTTCTTCACAGTCTGGGATGCTACAGGGAATGAAATATAATTAATAAAGTATAATATGTATCTGGAAATGTAATAGAAATGGAGTATTCTCTCTTTTTTATTTTTGGCAAAATTTGGCCCGTGACCCTGTACTGTAGTACAAACGATTTCTGCAGAGCTATCTCAGAAGCTCGTCTTACCCTAACCTAACCTATTCATTTTATCTTATTATTTTTCTCTCACTTATTTCCGTTATTATTATCTCATTTATTAACCTACTATTTATCCTTGTGTTGTATCTATTTTGTAAAAAATGTTTATTTAAGGGCTCAGTTCCCTCCTACACTGTACTATAGTACAGGGACTTTTGTCCGATTTTGGAGCAACTTTAAAAATTCATAAAAAATCCAAATGTGATCGGAATCAGCTCAAACTTTCTACACAACATAAGTACATGTATATGTATCAGGAAATGTAATTAAAATGGAGAATTCTCTACTTTTCATTTTTGGCAAAATTTGGCCTGTGACCCTATACTATAGTACAGGGACTTTTGTCCGATTTTGGAGCAACTTTAAAAATTCGTAAAAAATCCAAACTTGATCGGAATCAGCTCAAACTTTCTACACAACATAAGTACATGTATATGTATCAGGAAATGTAATTAAAATGGAGAATTCTCTACTTTTCATTTTTGGCAAAATTTGGCCTGTGACCCTGTACTATAGTACAGGGACTTTTATCCGATTTTGGAGCAACTTTAAAAATTCGTAAAAAAGCCAATTTTGATCGGAATCAGCTCAAACTTTCTACACAACATAAGAACATGTATATGCATGTATCTATGTATTATTATTATTATTAATTCGACTCATAATTATCATACCAATATAAGATCCAGCAGTAGCCCTTGAATCAACTGCTACTATGACTCCGTGTTGAAACTTAAAAGCTAGTGTTGTGGTGCCATGATTGAACTTGATCTTACAATCACTGGAATCAGACATAAAGGGACTCACGAAATGATGAGGCTGGAGTAGGAGGAACATTATTAATTAACGTAATAATAATTATTACTAATTAATGTTCTCACATCAATCCCAGGTGGTACAGTGAAGCTGTTATTCAAAGGTTGGTAATTATATTCGTGTCCTGGTCCGCACTCCCCGTCCATTAGTATCCCTCTCAAGGATTTACTGCAATATTTATCAGCAAGAACAGACGCCATTTTACTTACAGCAAGTGGTCACTGGTCAAAAAATTAATAATTAACCACACCTACAACTAAATTAGCCCCACCCATTAATAAAATGCATTGCTGCCAATTAATATAATACAAGAAAAATAGCAAAATGCAAATACAAAATCACCAATACCAACAGTACTAATACTGATATTATTATTTAAGATCTTTGTCTCTCTCAAACTCCTCCTTAGCCCTTACCAACAGTTCACTATTAGTGAGTATATCAATACAAGTATGGGCCATTCCTTCACTCATGATCAGTGTGGTATCATGAGACGAGTCGCTATTAGCAACAGCAGTGAACCCTGGGGAGTGGTTCACTTCTCCTCCTCCTATAGCATACTTTGGATGAATACCAGGGACCACATGAGTGACGTTACCCATATCAGTGGATCCAGCTGGTCCTGATGGTCGTATATCAGTAACACCTAATGCTAGTATATTATCAGTGAATAGATCAGCTAGGACTTTATTGGTCAGTACATTCTCATAGTCTTGGTCCTTCTTCTCTATACTAACCTCACAGCCAGTACCAGCTGCTGCTCCTTTAAAACAAGCTATCATTTTATCCTTGACAACGGCCAGTTCGCTCCTGGTAGGTGCTCTTATGTAGTAATCGAGAACAGCTCTTTCAGGGATTATATTTGGTTTGACTCCTCCCTCAGCGAATATACCATGAACCCTCCAGGTTGGTTTAAACTGTTGTCTGGTCAGTGATACAGCAGTATAGGCAGCTACTGCTCCATCAAGAGCATTCACTCCTTCCCAAGGAAAGGCAGCTGCATGAGCCGCCTTACCTTTAAAAGTGACGAGTAGTCTAGTGATACACAAATACTCATTATGTATAGAGGTATAGGGAGCGGGGTGGACCATCATGGCTAGATCAACCCCAGTGAAACCACCTCTCTCTATCATCAGCACCTTCCCTCCCCCTCCCTCTTCTGCTGGTGTCCCCATTACTGTCACACGTCCCTTCAGTCCAGCGTCTATAGCTCCCTGTACCCCTAGCCCCGCCCCCACTCCAGCCTCAGCTATTAGATTATGACCACAGGCGTGTCCTATACCAGGTAGTGCGTCATATTCACATATAACACATACATTAGGACCTCCTCTCTCCTTGTCCCCATACTCTGCTTTAAAGGCGGTCTCCAGTCCGCAGTAGCCCCTCGTTACAGTGAATCCTTTCTTCTCCAGGTAGTTCATGATGGCTGATGAGGACTTGTATTCTTTGAAGTTCAGCTCAGGATTGTTCCATATCTCACGACTCAGTTCTTTCAGCTCTTCTTTGTTCTTCTTGATCACTTCTGATGCTATTGACTTATACTCCATCGTGTTAAATAAGAGAGACTATTCCTTTTGTTCCGAGTTTTGTTCTAAGAAACGGTGGCCATCTTGAACTAACAGTATAATTGGGTGTGGCTCACTTCAGCCACACCTTTTTTGCTGCAACAATCAGATACTGCACCCTATTGGGTCTAATTTCATTACCCAGTGCCCACTGCTTACTAGAAGAGTAGGAGGTGAGCATTACTTAATTGTTTACATTTTGTAGTTTAAGTTGATTTAGACCACATTGCTAGTTTATCAATCATTACTTAAGGCAATGTTTACCACTGGCACTCCTCATCCATCCTTAGACCTTAGCTACAGTGGGAAATTCTATTCTGAGACCAGAGTTGCATTAACATGCATTTTATGTATTTTTAATAACTACTGAAATAATTATTATAATTTTTTGCTATTAAAATGCAACATAAAGCTGTTTACAACAAAAGGTCATGTCTATTGTGTTTGCTAATGATGGACTAATTATTGGTACATTGATTTAATATCATTTTAAAGTCATCAGTTCATGAATTAGGTCATGTACTCCTGATTTGATATAATCATTTCCTTTTTAATGTGTAGTAAAGTAAACACTGCAAGAGTACAAGTATAAAGGTTGAGTGTAAAATATCAATGATAACAGGATTAATAGCAACACTGAGAGAGAAGGAGAAAAACAAGATAAAGTGGAGAAAATGTTGTATCATATAATGATTATAGTATTACTGAGTATCTGTTGTATTGATGGTAAGTGTATCTACTAGTAATGGATTGATATGATTCCTTTTTAATAGCTGCTACTGTTTGGTTTGATCCTAATACTTACAATGTGACTGAAGAAGATACCAATATAACTGTTATCATCTCATTAGTGACATCTGAGCCTCTTAGTGCAGACTCCACTGTTAGAATATCCAACGTAACTAATGATGGAGCAACCAATCAAGCTACTGGTAAATTAAAATGTAAATGTGAAGTTCATTCTTGTTTCGATATTGTCTATTATAGCTGGAGTTGATTACATGTCATTTAATGATACAGTCACTATACCTGCTGGTTCTACAAGTTATAATTATACTGTCACCATCTTCTCTAATCCAGAGGCTGAATTATCTGAAGTATTCAGTGTATCTGTAGAGTTTGTCAGTGGAAACCAACTGACAGTTAATGGATCTAATGCTGTAATAACTATTAATGATACTGATGGTATAGTTCTCACCCTTTCTTAATGTAATAATGTTTATTGGTTTTTATTTATTTTCTAGTTCCTACTGTGATGTTTGATCCTGTTACTTACAATGTAACTGAGGGAAATTCTTTTATAATCTCATTTGTGACATCCCAACCTCTTCTTGGATCATCTATTGTTAGACTGTATGATATACCAACTGCTGGAGCAACTAATCATGCTACTCGTGAGTATTTAAACTGTTTATAATGTCATTTGTGTTTCCATTGATTCATTATAGCTGGAGATGATTATGGGTCATTTAATAGGACGATCACTCTACGTGTTAGCAGCTCCACAAGATATTATGATTATTCTAGACATATGTATGATGATTACAGAGCTGAATTTACTGAGCAATTCAGTGCAACGTTAGAGTTTGTCAGTGGATGGCCATTGACATTTACTGGACCCAATGCTACTCTTAATATTAATAATGTTGATGGTTAGCTCTCCCCAGACTCTCTTGGATTATGTTTTTATTTTAATTTTTAGTGCCTACTGTACAGTTTTATCCAGTTACTTACAGAGCATATGAGGGAGATACTAATGTAACTCTTAATATCTCATTTGTGACATCACAACCTCTTCTTGGATCATCCATTGTTAGAATATTTGATATACCAACTACTGAAGCAACTAATGATCATGCTACACGTGAGTATTTGAATGTAATTTATTTATTTTCTATTGTTATTACATGATAATAGCTGATCTTGATTACATGTCATTCAATGATATAATCACTTTACCTGCTGGTGCTACAAGACATGATTATACTATTCTTATCATTCTTAATCTTGAGGCTGAATCATATAGAGAAGTATTCAGTGCCACTTTAGAGTTTGTTAGTGGATGGCCATTGACATTTACTGGATCCAATGCTACCATTACTATTTATGATGCTAATGGTAACTTTCCATTCTTGCACATTTAAAAAAATAATTAATTTTATTTTTAGTCCGTACCATCGGATTCTCCTCCAGTTACAGTTATATTTATTCTCAAGAGACCACTAATGTTACTCTTACTCTAAGAGGTGTGACATCACAGCCTCTATTAGGAGACACTATCATTAGACTAACTGATGTACCTACACCTGGTACTACCAATCCTGCTACTAGTAAGGATATTTTAATAGTTACAATGAATTAATAGTAATTGAAATATTGCTCTTTATTTAATCCTCTCTCTCTCTCCTGTATAATCTTCATCTCGTATTCTCTTTCCATTCCTCCTAGGGAACATTGACTACATTGGCTTAAATGAGGAGATACCTCTACCTGTTGGGTCTACTGGTTTCTCTTATAATGTGACAATACTAGCATCTCCAGCATCTGAGCTTACAGAATACTTCAATGTTAACATGTCCTATGTAAGTGGAGCACCATTAAGAGTGACTGGATCAGTTGCTACCATCACCATTTATGATACTAGCTGTAAGATATATATTTTAATTATTGTGAAATTTGTGTGCATGGCTATTTGTTTGTGTTTCTTCTCATGGAATCATTGTGTTGCATTCTTTAACTGTTATGGTCATAATTGTTATTATTATTTTAGTTATATTGTTGACATTCACTTCTCCTGAGTATATAGTTTCTGAAAACAATGGAAGTGTCACTGTTACTGTAACATCATCATCTCCTGTTCTTACTGATACTGTCATTAGATTAACTGATGAACCAACTAGTGGTGGAGCTAGAAATAGTTTGCTCTTAACTAAGTGTTATTAATCTTTAAATTGTGTTATTTTGTAGTCACTGATTATAAATCATTTTCTGATACAATAACAATACCAAGTGGACAATCATCAGCTTCATATTCAATATCATTAGTAGATGATACTGTACCAGAATCGACAGAATCCTTTGATGTTAGAATGGGCATAGTATCAAGATATCGTGTTACTTCTAATCACAATACAGCAGTTGTGACTATCACTGATAATGACAGTGAGTATTATAACTGAGAATAATTTTTAACATTGAAATTATTTATCTCTTAATTTATTTCAAGGTACAAGCTCTATTGATGTGGCACTAGTGATATCTGGTCTGAATATATCCTTTATTATCATATTGACGATTATATTAATTGCTGTCATTTTGTATTTGTAAGTATAACATAATGCTTATATTGTGTATCAGTAGTTTTTATTAGTAGGAGGAAACTTAATAATTCAATGACTGCTGACAAGCCACCAGTTGCTACTACTGAGGCCAGTAATATGATGTATGATAAGAATGTGAGCTATCAACTGCATAAAATAACTAATGAGTAAGTATAATTATAATATAATAATAATAATAATAATAATAATAATATTATTTCTAATTAATAGGACTGGTGTGTATGAAGATGTTCTTCATTAATAAAGTCATTGATGTAATTAATTATTGTTAGTTGATGATTGAACATTATTAGTTAATAGTTACTTAATTCAACCTCTTGCTTTTTAAGGATAAGTACCTTTGTTTGCTGTTCCTGTACAGATACAATGAAATATTTCTGCTGCATAGGTCATAGCATTAGTTTTACTAGCATATGAGACAACATATAAACATTAACACTAACACTGAGAGGTTACTGTGCTAACAGTATAATACAGACTGATCACTTTGAACTGAAAGAATAGTTTGAAGTACAAGCAGTAAAATTTATTGACGTATAATATTAATAAAAGAGTAGTCTCACAAGCCAGACCATTCCCCAGCCTACATTCATTACCCAGTGCCCATGCAGTGCCCACTGCTTACTAGAAGAGGAGTAGGAGGTGAGCATTACTTAATTGTTTACATTTTGTAGTTTAAGTTGATTTAGACTACATTGCTATAGTAGAGCCACACTGACTTTGTCAACTTTGAATTGAAATAACTTTCTTATTTAATAAAGTACAGATAGCGGCTTTTTTCCATGATACTTTTCATGAGAAAGCGGGTGTTTTAATATATGATACAACTAGAGCGCAGGTGTAGAAAAGGAGAAGAGAAATCAAAGCACTTGGGCACTTAGAGAGCACTCGACGCCATTACTACCGCCCACGTGTGGTAATGGCGTGGGCGTATACCAAATCTATTAAAAAATTTTACTGGTCGTATTTTAATCAGAATTTTGACCCAACAAATCCGTGCTCTTTTCATCTCCATTGCCCCTGCTCCCGATGTTTCGTCTCTCCTCCTACCCCTAATTTTAGTAACTAATTTAAATTCTATTATTTTATTGTAACTACTTTCATTTTTTATGCTGGCAGCCTGGGCATGTCCCAGGTTGACCACCAGTACTAAACTTCACCAACTTGAATTACCTGCTTTTTATCTTGTTCTATTTATTCTGTCAGTGCTGGAAAGTTATTTAATAATAATAATAATAAAATGGCGACCACTTGTGCACCACATGGTCCATCAAGAATGAGATGTTTTAGCAGGAAGGAAGGCATGAGACGAGATATAACTAAAAGGACACGAAAAGATGAGTGAGGCTAACCTTCTTAACTATTTTTAGCCATATACACTTGTGAAAATTAAGAGAAGAACAATATAAAATATCAGGTAGCTATAATGAGCCATATCTTTTAGTTTACTTTGTTTAAGCCTAGGATTTGTATATGTACCATGAAAAGAACAATAGTTTTATACTGTGGAACTGTATTATTACACGTAAACATGAGGAAAAACAACAATGGATCACAGGAGCGATGGGCTGACTTAATCAACATTCAGAGATGAAATGCAAGACTTTTGCTGCAGAAGAATGGCTGACATTGTTTAAAGGAACCATTTTGCACACCTGAATTTCTTGCTAATATTAGTAGTGAGTCCAGTGATGAGTCCAATAGTATTGAAGCCTCTAGCGAAGGTGTCACTTCAATCTCTGCCTCTCCAAATGATGCTGTGGTTGCTAATGACAATTATGAATTCACCTGACTAATAATTATTACTCTTATTTACTGTAATTTTAAAATAATAAAAGTTTATAATAAAATTTGTCTCATAATTATATTCATTGTGGGTAAGCTATTATAAACAAACACTTATGTGACAATTAACAGCCACTTTCATATCACAGCTACTCGTGCATTTATAATTAGCTGAACAAAGTCATAATTAGCTGAACAAAGTCAGTGTGGCCCTACTATAGCAGTTGCCATTATAAAACACGTGACAGAACTAATCACATCATGCCACACCCAAGTTACATGACACTATATCCAGTAAAATGGCCAGTTTCAGTTGGCACTGGTAATCTGCAATGTACTGATGAAGTATCTGGTCCCATTTTGTATACACAGACATGCCCATTACACTACTCCATATGACTTAATGCCTGGTGGCTTGAATAAACTCATGAAGAAACTTCCCTCTACAATATATGAGCTTAATGACATTGGTTGGATGACTAGTGATATCTGTTAGTGACATCACTTTGTAGTTCATGTCGCTGGAGCAAGACCTCTGCTTTTAATACATGAGCATTTGACACATCACAATCCTAGCTTCATTACCAAAGCTTTTCATGAGAAAGTCGTTATATATTGCATGCCGCACAACACTACTCATACTTTACTACTGTTTGACAAAAGTACCTTTGGCCCTCTAAAGACAAATGAATCAAGAAATCTAAGATTACATCAGTAGAAATCCATAAAAAGTTGTAACTCAGTATTCCTTTTTGCAAATTCTGAGTCTAGCTTTCTATTATGCAATGACTACTCATTATTTGATATCAGCTTTTAAAGTTACTGGTGTATAACCAGTTTATCGGCATACTGTTGATATTGCACCACAACTCCCAAAAAGTCATTCTAGCCAAAAGCTCCTGGCAAAAGACAGGACTTGCTTTTATACCATTGCATAGTCAAGTAGATCCAGGAAAATGCAGTTCTTTTTGGTCTTGCTCATCTTCTAATTAAATGTTATCTAATATTTCTGAGTAACAAGCACTTGCTTTAGAAAACGTTTTATGGAAGGACATGACATATTAACTGATGTATAGTATAATTTGTAGCTTTGAAAATTGGTAATAGTAACACAAAAACGAGACTTGCCTCTATCTTTTGACTTGCCTTCGTCTTTACCTCATGCTTCATCTACATGTACTTCATCTGCTTCCTTACCACTTTAAGTAATCTTATTAGTGAGGGAGTTTCTCAAGTTTCTACTTTAAAATAGATTTAAAGACCACCACAGCCTGAGATAACAAAGCACCCTAATTATTCAAGATATTGTGAAAAAGTTCTCACAAGTACTGAAAATTATAAAATGGTTCAAAATAATGAGGAACTGAAAAATTTTTAAGATGTTGGCGGAGAAGAAATGAAAAAGACAAGAGTGTCAACGAAAGAAAGAGGAGACTTTGGCAGAAATGAAGAGAAAAAAGTATAGAGAGAAAATTATGGCAAAGATGAGAAGAAACAAGTTGCTAAATATGCATGTATCTCACGTATGTATAAGCACTGCCACTCAAATTTAAATAATTAATGTGCATTGCCAGAATTTTTTTCCGTAATACTGACTTATTGAGCCATTTAAATTACAGAAATTGCTTGTTCTCATATGACTCAAATGAATCAAACAGATTTGTTAGATATAGCTCAAGAACTACAAAAAGTAAAAAAAATGACAAAATGTAATCAGTGCATTTTAATTGGTGTTACTGCTATTGAGTTTTGGAGTTTAGTCCAATCAAAAGTAAGAAATAAAGACAAAAATTGTAATACTACTGACTGCTTTTTTAACTACACGGACTTGGTAAAGCAAGAGCGAGTTCTATCATGTTCAGCAGGACCTAGAAGGCAGAATATTAAAGAGGCAGAAGTCAGTGGAGAAGATGCCTTGCAACTGTGAATGGTCAAGAAGTAATAGTTGCTAAGCAAAATGTTACCACACCTACTGCTTTTTTTATTAAAATGTTAAACAAATCAGCTATCTTGACTCGCGCACCTTTTCTGCTTATTTGTAGTGCACTTCTCCACCGAAATGTAAGTTTAAACATTTATTGTAAAAACAAAATAGTTAAATCTACCCCAAATTTCGCGTTAATAAAAATGCAACTAGGGTACCTTAAGTTTTGGTTATTATTAACCATTTCTTTTGCAGTTAAATTAACTCTGATACACTGTCTTAAATACAGTGTTATTGCAACACCTGTAAGGGTGTCATGGCTATCCTTTAAATTTGACACAAGTTGTAGTGTTGTAGTAACACCCCTCTTTCAATAGAACAACACCAAGCTAGATTGATTCAACACCCCAATAGTAAACAACACCCAAATTTGTGACACCCACGAGTGTATGCCAACACCTCAGTTTTAACAGTGTATTAACCATGAATTTTGGATTCATTTTAACCATTTTTCTTTTGTAGTTAAATTAACTATCTCACATTAACCTTAAACTTCAGGTCAATTTAACCAATAACAACGTGGTTAATGCTGTAGTTCTGCATGATTGTTGTTAAAGAGCAACTGACGGAAAAAGTTAGGTTGTTATTAGAAATTAAAAATATTTTTCTTTTGGTACACGACTTGTGAAAATGCTTTTGTGAAAATTACTTGCTCTTTTGTGAAGAAAATGCTGAAAAAAAGCTAATTTCCCCCATTTCCACATCTAGTCATTAGCACATGGATGTGGTCACACGTGACATCACAAAAAAGGGAAGATGGTTGCTTGCTGCATTGATTTATATGCAACTTTATGTTAGAATTATGGAGTTTTGGCTATTTTATTGCAGAAAAGAAAGCTGTAGTGTTATCAAGGATGCAATGAAGAATAAATTTAGCTAACTCATTTTCAAAATAGAGCAAAATTATGACATTTAGAACTTGCTTCCAATTACTACTTTTGCCCTTAAAATCATACCTTCATTACCTGCTAAACAATACAGAGTACATTTTTTCTGAATTGAAGTTGTGTATAAACCAATAGAGCAAACAACCATTTTCCCTTTTGTGATGCCTCGCATGACCACATGTACTTTGGCTGAATTCAAGGTGCAAAAATAAATGACATTTGCACTTTTACAGAAGTTTTTCTTCAAAAAAGAGCTATTATTTTGAACAAAAGGTAATTTGCAAGTCATTATGAACATATGTTTGATTTTAAATCACAAAACAAGTATTCGTGTCAGTTTTGCTTTAAATAAACATTTTAAACAGTTATTTCAACAATGATAACACATAAAAAACAAAAAAAAAGTTGAAGTAACAATGATTAACATAAAATTAACCAGTAAATTAAACACAATTACATAACTATCTTAAATGCTAAAAATGTTTGTAAACATAACTGTAAATCCATAATCAATAAAGTAAGTGTAAAATACTAAAATTGATGCCATACTGACTGTGCAACCTTCATTTTATTGTACTCTTGTATGATAACAATATATATTTTCTAACAAAATAAACTAAGTAATTTGGCATACCATAATAAAATGACATCATTCCATCCAATAGTCAATAATGCAAGAATTTTTGCTTCTTTGTCTTGTACAAATGGTAATACAATAATGCGATTGATAGCACATACTTTGCACTCACGTTGTAATCAATATGATTATATTCAGGATTATTTCAGCTCACTCTTTTGCTTTTCTTATCAGATACCTTTATATTCTTTTCAATCCTAAAATAAATACATGTGAAGTAGAGATAAAACGTATTCTATTGTTGAGAAGTCTACCACATTAACACCCCCACACATGGATTCCACTCAAGAATGATTCAACTGTTACACACAAATTGATAATAACTATGTGTAATGTCGAGACCATTCAAGACAAACTTAACTGTTACACACAAAATGACAATAAATAAGTGTAATAGAGTCCTTTCATGATGGATTTAACTCTTACACATAAAATGATACTCAATAATTGTTCCATTCAAGACAGATTTAACTTTTACACACAATTAAAATAATATCTGCAATGTTTCTCTTTCTTTACAGTTGTCACTTTCAAATACATTCATTTTAAAGTAACATTTCTTATTAAATTCATTCATAGCATTGAAATGGGAGTTGCCCTAGTGTCAGACTCCTCCACCTTGCCCCCTCCAAACAAGGCTCGCCTTATATAGCATCCTGTTAGCTCAGGCTTTTGTGGGGCGTCCATCTATGATGCCATCGGTGACGTCATAGCCTTAAAATGGCCGATCTGCTTTAGGCTGGTAAAGTGTAAATGACCCCTTTATTGTGCTGTATAGTTTAACACAGATAAATAGCACTCTGGAACAAGTATGATTTAGGATGCTGCTACAAAAGCAAGCCGTAAGACAAAGTAAGTATTTGTATGTGTGTTATTATAGCTCAACCTTCTTTATTATACTTTGTTCTGTATAGTTGAACACAGAAAAGGGGCAGGGTAGGAATATTTTTGTCAAGGATGCTGGTACAATAGCAGTGGTATAAACAAAGTAAGTACATAAGTCTTATTGTAGCTTAACTTTTGCTATTATATAGGCGGGAGCCTGTACGTCGGGTTGACATTGATTTTTCAACATGGTGGCCAAATTTACAATTTTCAAATGCTTATAACTTTCAGCACAGCCTTATAAAATGCTCAAATCAGTTCTCCTTCATTGAGCGGTTTTTCGGGTACCTTTAAAGTGACCTGTAATGTAACGGGAGCAATTCTGGAGAATAGGCCCAAATTCAAATTTCTGCAAAAACCTTCAGACTTTTTCTTATGTCATATTTCCTCTATAAACACGGAAATTTTTTAACATAATGAACAGCGTAAAATGGCTTTTACACCATTCCTTTGGGCTTGGGTCATGGATGAGAAAAGTGCTTTTATTATCTTATTAGTTTAAAGTTAGAAACTAATTACTTGGACGTGATCATCACACCCCTCTCCTTTTCAGATGCCATCTTGAAATTACATGCGCATGAGCAAAGTTGCTATAGACTACTGTGCGGTAGTGATGGGTGATACAGCATTAAAAAGAAACAATACGATATCGATATGTTAGTTATAAAAATCACTTTATGAATGTTATTTTCGATTCGATAATTAATTAACGATTTAATGACTAAAGCCACACAAATATCTT